ATTAGTTAGTTCTATAAAATAAATTTCTAAGCTTAGTAATAAGTAGTAAGGGGTAGTAATTCTTCTTTATAATTTTATTAAGTCTCTTATAATTAATAATAAGTTTTAATTTTCTACCCTTTTTTAGTATAAAGAATAAGGAGAATCTAGCGAGAGAATTTAATAGTTAAATATATCCCTTTTTAAGTTTCTTATTAATATATTTATTAAAGTACTCTTATTCTTCTTAATTTATTAAATATATTAAATAGAACCCGGGTTATATCCCTTTTTTAAGCTCGATTTCTATATCCTAGTTACTATATTTTAATAATCCTATTTCTTTAGGTTCTATAAATAGTTTTATATATATTTAGTATTCTTTAGGTATAGTTTAGAGTTATTACGATCCCCGATCGTTAGTACTAGTTATAAACTTCCTAGAGCTTTTTACTATTTTAATAAAAGCTATATATTATATTTATTTTCGTTCTTTAGGAGTTCTTAAAAATCTATTTAAACCCTTCTTTTTAGGTCGTTTAATAACTAAATTTTCTTAGAGGATTTAGCTAGTAATTTAATTTATCTATAAGTTATACTTTTATAACTACGAGATTTTTAAAATAACGTTAATATTTTTTATTTTTATAATATCGTATTATAGTTATTCTTACTAATTATTAATATATATTAAAAAGTATACGGTTTTTTAATTAATATATTTATAGTCGTAATTAACTTATTCTCTTTTTACTATTTATAATTAATATAGGTTATTTTTTTATACTTATAATAAGTTAAGTTTATTTACTATCCTTAATAAAATATAACTTTTTTATACGCCGCTATTAATAATAGCGTTTAATCCTCGTCTATAAATATCGAGATTAATTCGTAAATATACGTCGTTATATTATTTAGTTATATATAAGAACTTTTTTTCTATTCTCGCTTTTTATTATTCTTTTATAATTAGCTTTTTTAGTTTTTTAATATACGTTTTTTTTATTAAATACTTTATTTACGTAGTTCTTATTATTCTCTCTAGGCCTTAGCTTTTTTAATATAATAAACTTAGTATTAATTATACTTATAGTCTTCTTATTCTATATATTCGCTATTAAAGTATTTTATAAAAAAGCTAGGGTCTAGGCTAAATATTACTTTATTATTATTATTAAAGCTTAGTAACGTCTAGCTAGGTAATTAGTTTTTTATATAAATATCCTTAATAAGCTTATTATCGCGTTTTTATAAATAGAAGCGACTATTTTATTTATATACGAGGTACTAAAGGTATTTATTATTTAGGTATTCTACTTAAAATAATTCCTTATAAAAGGGGTCTTTGGGGTTAAGTAGAAAGTAATCTTTATCTATATAGGGGGTTATTATAACCTTTTTACGTTCTTGAGTTCTATAGAACTAAATAGTTTAGTTATTTTCGAACGGATAAATATATTTATATTATAGTTCGTCGTCGTCCTCTTTAGAGCTAATATCGTTAATGCTAAATAGTACTTTATAATTAATCTCTATTTAAGTACGTTATTAAGTAATATTACGAAGTTCGTCCGAATTATAAAATAATTCTACTTTATTAAAATAAAAAGAACTAGTTCTTATTTTAATATTTTCTTTTTTAAAATTAAAATTAATTTTTTTTTTTTTTATAATTCCGAAGTTAAAAATTAATTTTTTAATTACTTTAATCTTATCTTCGCGCAAGAGGTCTTTAAGTTATTTTTTAATTTTATAAATAAATTTTTTATTACTATTTACTTTTTGTATTATATAAATAGACTTAGTTAGGATTTTATCTAGATCGAATCCTTTTTTAAACTTAGTAAATTATTTTTAGTTTATATAGTTTTATCGTACTATATAGACGAGGCTATTTATAATTTTTTTAATATTAGGTTTTTTTTTTTCAAATTTAAGGAGCTACTTTTTTATATTAGCTAAGCGTTTTTATTTAATTCGTTTTTTAAAAAAATAAAGTATATCTTTTATAATAGGGTTTATTTTAACCTTTTTTTTTATATTTTTATAAATTTAAGAGAGCGTAGTAATATATTTAATATTATTTTTTTAAGAGTATAGGGTCGGTAAGTAAAAATTTTTTTTTTTTTATTATTATTACTAAGGTCCTAACGGATAGTATAATATCGGATCGTCCCTTATTCTTAGGTCGCTTTAAGTATTATCCTATTTATTCTTTACTATTTTAGTAAGTAAGATAATTATTATCATAGTAAGCTATTTATAAGAGTTACTTATAGAGGGTTTCTTTATTTATAATATTAGCTCGTTTCTTTAGAATAGGTTAGTATTAAATATACTTAGGTTATTAATAATCTCTAGCTATATATCCTAGTTTATTATAGTTATAGTACTTAAAGTCCTTTTTTTAGCGAGGTTATTCCTTTTTAATAACGCTAAGGTTTATTAGTCCGTTATAATACCCTATTATAATAGTCGTTAGTTTATATTTATATTTATTATTAAGTTTAGCTCGGTTATTCTAAATATTCTATCCTTTTTATTTAAAGCGTCGTTTATAGAGTTAATTATTAATTTTAATAGTTATATTAATATAATTATAGAGTTTATTAAGTTAGTCTTAATAAGAGAGGTTATCCTTAACTTCTTTTTTTAAGCTACGATAAAAGGCTACTATAAGTACTTCGTTACCCTAATTAAGCTTAGAAATAATCTATTTAAATTTAGAAATATACTTATTAACTAACCCTTTTTATATAAGGGTTATAAGCTTTTATTTAATAATTCGTTCTTTATTAGGGTTACTAAAGGTTTTTTTAAGTTTTTTTTCGAACTCGTTATAATTATTAAAGATCTTTTTAGTATTTTTATCCTAAATATTACGTTCGTTCTTAAAGTAGTCTCTTATAAAAAGTTCGAACTAAATAAGGGTATCCTTTTTAAAAAATAAAACTACGTAATAAACTTTATTTATTTTAGTAATAAAAAAGGTCCCGTAGTAACGTAAATAGGCCCTAGTTTAAATAAGGAATCCTTAGAGAGTATCCGGGGACCCGTTATAGGGTTCTAGTTTAAAGTACTTAGCTCTAAGTATTAAAAAAGGTCGGGGCGTTATAAACTAAGTATAAAGTTATTCGTTTTTATTCTTAAGTTTAAGTATTATATTATATAATTATTAAATAGTAAATATAACTATTTTAATAAGCTACGCTATACTATTATTATTAATAGTCGATATATTTATATTATTTAGTTAGTTTTTCGAAAAGTAAACTTACTAAATAGGAGTAATTAAAATATTATAGCTAGCTAGTTATAATAAGTATATTAGTAAAAGTTAAGGTTATAAGTACTAAGTAAATAATATCGTAGTTATAAATAGCTTTTTTAAAGCTATATTTATAAGTCGTAAGGTAAGTAAGGCTTTAGTAATTAATTATAAGCTTATTAAGAGGGGTTCTTAATAAAAATAACTAAAAACGATCGTAAAATCTAATACTAAATTAATTATTAAAAAAGCTATAAGAAGTCTATCCTTAAGCCCGGCTTAAGTTTATATTATATATAAGTCTCGTTTTTAAATATATCTTTTATTTATATATTTACTTAACGGGCCCCGTATCCCGATTATACGGGCTCCGTATTTTAAAAGGACGGGGTCCGTATCCTTAGTATACGAACCTTTTTATTTCTTATTATTATATAACTTATCCTATAGTTCTTCTATTCTATAAGAGTTACCCTATGTTCTTATACTCCTATATATATAGTATATTATAGCCGCCGTAAGCTTACGGGGCGGGCCCTGGTTTTAGTTATATATATTAAGTCGTAATAAAGAGGTATATTTAAACTTAGTATTTATATTAGTAATACGACGCATAATAACTATATTAGGCTAAGTAAAAAGTAAGAATTAATTTAAAATAGGCTAAGAATTACTTTAAAATTACTTATAACTTTTTTACCTTTTTTATTACGTATAAGGACCTTTAAGAAGGAAATAGGAGATCTAACCTTTTTTTTTTTAAAAAGAGTAAAAAGGGGGCTACGGACCTTATAGTTCTTATAGACCTTCTTTAGCTTATTATAAAAAGCTAGATAAATAATTAGTTAACTAATTCTAAACTAGTTCTTAACTAGTTCCGAAATAGTTCTAAACTACTTATTTAAAGCCTTATTATTTATATTAATAGAGTTAGTACTTATTTTATAGCTCTTAATACGTATTAGGATATTATTAACTTTATATTTATAAATATAAGTACGAAGATTACTTTTAGAAATAAATTAAGTTTTTTAAGAATTTAAAATTAGTTTAGAATTAGTTCCGAATTATTTAAGAATTACTTATAGTTATATAAGTAACCTTTTTATTATTAACTAAGAATTTATAATATACTTTACTAAGTATAAGCTTAATTTTATTATTTTAAATAATTCTAAATTAGTTCTAAACTAGTCCTAAACTAGTTCTTAATTATATACCTTATTATATTTAAAAAAAGGTAGGTTCTTATAGCGGATAGGATTACTTTTAGGGCTAAGAATACTTAGATAATAGTCTTAATACGCTTCTTATTTAAAATTAGTTCTAAACTAGTTTAAAAATAATTATAAAATACTTTTAAAAAATATAACTTACTAAATACTTATAAAAGATTATAATAAATAGAATTAATTTAGAACTAGTTATAAATTAATTAGGGAATAAAAAAATAAATTAATAACCCTCTTTATAAAAGGCTTAATATAAATAGGTAACGAATAGGATACGAAGCTAATAAGGGTATAATAAGGGCTACTTATATAATAAGATAAGAAGTATATAATTAGTAATATAGGTTATAATTAATAAAAGTAGTTTATACTTAGCTAAGGATTTTCTAACTAATTAAAAATCTGCTTAGCTAGTCCTACGGTAATTAAACTAGTTAATTAGAAAATTAGTTAAGTTACGTCCTTTTTCCTATAGTTAGGTTAGGTAACCGGGGGGGCCATAGGTCAGTTTACCTGTGTTCACGATCGTCTGTCTCGCTGAGTCTCTTTTTAACTTTCTTGTTCAGACGACTCAGGTTCACTGTCTCTCCGGAACACATACGGCACGTCGCGCACCCAGAACCACGGGCACGCCGCACACTGACCCTGGCAACCCTCGAAATGCGCGCACCCGAGATGAGGAGAACCTTAGTTTATTGAAGCTTGAGGAGTTGGAGGGAGCTAAAACCCGTCGGACTGCAACTACAATACGTTTAGACACCGGCGCTAGGGCATAGGGCAGATACCAGCGCTGCATGTTTCCTGACGAGTTCCCCTCATGCGTCCAATCACTGAAACACACTTGTCCCGACCGTCTCTACTTGTTTGGCCCCAAAGTGTTGAGCTTGCGGCCTGCCTCAAACCATGAATTGCGCTAACTACCTCAAAGTGCATGTGGGCTTTTAAGCAAGTTACCATTCCCTTGCCCAGTTTCTTCACAGCTCCTCGGAAATCTGTTGGCCTTGTCTCTCTCGAGTAGCGTCAATCACGTAGTAGTCCTTCACCAGTGCGGTCCCGTCCTCGACCGTCTTCCACACATCCTCGGGGCACGTCTCGGGCTTGAGGACATAGCAAATCGGATCCGGCTCCTGGGGCGGGATGTTCTTGATGTGCCACGTGTCCTTGACGCCGATCGTCGACAGCTCGTCCGTGACGGGGATGAGTCCCGTCGCGATGTCCCGGTTGAACGTCGCCCGCATAAAGATCTCGTACGCCGTCACGGGCTGATAAGACGGCACCTCGTGGCCGGCTTGGTAGACACGCGAGAAACTGTAGTTGCCGAGCTGGCGCGTCATGCCCGTCACACCATCGGGGGTGATGAGCGGGGCGTACCCGGCGTTGGCAAAGTCTATCGATCGGTTGTAGGGGATCGCCAGACTAGCCTTCTCGCCGCCGACCCAGTTACAGGCGTAGTCGCGATCTCCATCTGCACACAAGAGCGTTAGGAACAGCACGCAACTTTCAAGGATGGGGATGATCAAGACTCACACATCATGTGAACTTTGACGCCGCTATCGAGGAGGTACCCGATTGACTCTCCGAATCCACCCAGGATCATATCTATAAAAGTCACTCAGTATAACGTTCATCTGAAAGCATGAAGCGCCCGCGAATGGGAATGTAACCATCTTACCGAAAGTATTCTGGAAGCTGATGCCCACTGCCGCGGACGATTCCGAGTAGTTCACAGGCACGCCGAGAGACGACAAAACCTCGCCTTCGGTGAGGTACCCGTACAAGTGCGGGGCCGGGAAAGGGTCATATTTGCTGTGTCCGATATCATACCAGCCCCTTCCGTCGGCTTTGCTCTGGTAGATTTCGACGGCGTTGAAGCCGCACTCGGTGAGAAAGTCGCCGCAAATTTCAGTGTAGTTCTTCTTGGCACCGTTGGCTACCAGCGGTCCATGTTCTTTGAGAGCTTCCTGGCAGTCGAGAATTCGGTCTTTGCAACCGTCTGGGCGGGTCCAGTTGTGCATCAACGCATCGTAAACCGACTCATTGAAGATTTGCATTCCATAGGTCTGAACAGGTAGTCAGCGTTGTATCTCATCATGATGCACCCAGATACTCTAGGCTGTATCAAGGGGTACAGATTGCTCACATTGTTGTACGGGAACGTGATCCAAGTCTCACCTTGGATCGACAGGTCAATGAGCCCGTTGACGATTCCAAGCGTATCAAGGTGGATATACTGGGCATTCTCCTCGGGTGATGAGCCATTCTGGATCAACTCGTTCTGCGTCTGGAAGTGTCGAAAAATACCAGGCGCATAGTGTCCTCCGTATGACTCGGCCCACAAGCTGACCCGGTCGTCAATGGGCTTGTAGCCAGGGAACTCAAAGAACCACGTCTGCGCAAAGTGCCACAGAGCGTGCGCAGCATGCGCCGTGGTGTTCGATGTCTGCGATAGCTTCTGGCTGGATGCAGTGCCGTACCGGTAGGTGTAGTTGCCCTCGGGTACACCATCGCTGAAGTTGGCGGGGAACATGCCCCATGGTCCGTTCTCTTCGAAGTTCTCGTTGGCGTGGATGGTAATATTGGTTGGGATATCGTAGGAGAATCCGACCTGAGTCGGTTGGTCGATGTAGAGTAGATTCACTTCGTTGTTCCAACTCCACGGATTCAGACGAGTCGTCTTGGAGTCCTCGTTAACGAAGCAGGGGCCGTTTTCTTCGAGGAGGCCCATGATGGAGGAGCCTCCCGGTCCGCCGTTGAGCCAGATTGCCAATGGAGCATTTTCGGGAGCTTTGCGCGCCTCAAAGAACCAGAAGAAGCTTTAAGAATCAGCACCAGTTCCAATTGATAGCCGAGAGCATTTGCGGTTCCTACGTGTTGATTGGGTAGTCTTGAGCTTCCCCATCAACGTCATTCAGGGTTCCTGAGGGTAGCTGCACGTATCCGGCGTACGACTTGACCCCGGGCGTGGTCTCACAGATACCGGGCTAGAGGACAAGGACCTCAATTAGTCAAGGATGCAAAAGACCATCGAAAACAATGTGCGCTCACCTCTTTGTATGAAATGGTGACATTTTCGTGGAATTTGGACTTCAGCACCTTGATCCCCTCGGGTGTGGGCGGGAACTGCGCGGCCGCGAGACCAGCGAGCCCGACAAGCGCAATTGAGGCGGAGGACAACATCTTGACAAACACAACTCACGAGATCAAACCGCCATTGACTCTCTTTCGATACGATGGATGACTTTGGCAGTGTATTTATCGGAAGAGAGTCTTACAGATCAGCCTGTCTCGCATGACGTGACGCGTTGCACACGTCCTGAAGGATCGCGAGAACGACGACAGAGTGGGGTCAAACTCAGATAAACCTCTATCCCGAGCTTTTGATTCGACCAGAACTTTGACCTTCCTATCTCGGCCGGCGTTTAGACCTGATCGGCTTCCCGGCACGGTGCGGCACGGAGCAATTATCTCTGAGCATCACGGAAATCTAGCTTTAAATGGCTAATGCTGACATTTTTCACTTTCCAGAGTTGTGTCAACTTCAAAACCGACAATGTCAGCCATCTACCCCGATCGGCTTGCCTCTTACTTTCTATGAAGCCTTATTACAAGAGTCTTCTCGTAAACAAGATTCGTTGAATTAACACCAGACAATTGAGTCATTCAGGTCAACTATCCTCTATGTAACTTTCTGGGAGCGGCTCCAAACATGTTCTGAGAATAGAAAAGAATCTGTACTTCCACGACTTTATTTTCGAAATTATAATTTAGGACGCTCAAGGTGGGCTTCGATAGGTTTCTCTCCCGGCCTAGATCTTGAGAGCCGATAACGTTTGAATACATCGCTCCGAGGCTCGGGGAGATAGGCCTTAGAAAATTTGCTAGCGACTGCCTGCAATGGAATGGAACCTTTAAGCATATATCTTTGCGAGGCCGATAACGAACAATCCTGATTGATCAACATCAATGCACTGATCTTACATTGTTCGCTGGATTCAGGTTGGCTCCCCGCCGATCCATCTCGCTCCCCATGCGCTCAGCGTCTGATTTCTCCCTCCGCATCCACTGGCGCTCTTCTGAACTAGGAACTCCTTGACCTTTTGCGCCAGAAGCTCATGTACATGGTATGTAATATGACCCGAATTATACCAGAAGTACTCATAAATCGGCTGACACCCGTACGCGGCATAGTTCGTATCGATATCCCAGGCTTTGTAGCTAGGGCAGAAAGAGCTCGTATTGGTGAACCCGTACGACGCCGCGTTATCAAAGACCTGTGTAAGCCAGCTATACGTGTCAAATACCAGAGCAGTCACGTCGGGATGCTTTTCTGAGAACGCCTTTGCGGTCTGGTTGACTACGCCGTTGAACGTCTTGATCATGTCTGTGCTTGGAAGACGGGCTGGGTTGAGTTGCGATGCGGGCTGTAGTATGGTCAACGCGATTCTTGAAGAGGTTGTCGAAACGAAAACTGTGCCGGATTTGACGTACATTCTTATCGAGGGGAGGTAAGTTCAGGAACAGGAAGTGGCGATGCCCGGCTTCATATACAGTCTCCAAGGCTGCAAACTGCTCCGCGATGACTGCAGTGTACAGTTCCTCCCAGCTGTTCAGCCCGTTGACAGGGAGTTGGAAATTGGCCATGTCGTTGATGTCATTGATTCCAATGTAGGAGGCCACGAGTGACTTGGTGGGATCGGCGTTAATGACTGATTTGCCGTAGGTATCCCATTGTTCGACCTGTTTCTCATACGAGATGGTATGGTTCCAGTGCAGCGGGACGCTGCGATGGTGTTAGCTTCATCTCATACGCTTTGCGCCGGATTAGCTGAGAATTCCTCACAAGCTAGTCGAAATATCAGCCCCGGCGTATGCGAACCCCCATAATTGCTTCTCGCAGTCCCGAGGATGGCCCTCTTTGCAGCCAGTGAGCTCTTGAACCCAATTAGGCCCGCCGGCAGAAGACGTGTTCTGCCCCGGAACAATGCGGTCACCGAGGAGCTGCTCGGGTGTGAAAGAAATGTTCAGCTGGGATCCGATGAAGCTGTATGCCCAGCGACCTTCGGTTCCTTGAACGAATGTGTAAGAGTCGCCAAATGTGAGTCTGAGCTCCTTCTCGCGTCAGTGATTTCAAGTAGCCGTCCGTGTGGATACTCAGAACTCACACATATTCCGTATTCTTCCAGCTGAAAGGCGTCTCAACAGCGACTGGCGAAGCAATCGCAACTGCTGCTGCCCAGCCGAGCAGGTAGGCCTTGGAGACAACCATCGCGACAATGCACCAACGTCGAGTCGCTGCAAGGAACCGGAAAGCTGGGAACTTTTCGCAACACGAACAACGATATCAGATGGATCACTCCAGTAGGTAGACTTATAGGGCAACATCTCGACCCCTGAAAGCCCTCCGCCCCTCCATCTTCCCCGCTTCAGGGCCAGATGCAAGCTTTGAAAAGTAGACGCAACTGAAATGAAATGCCACCCGTGAAAACCGGTGGAATGGCGCAAACACCACCTAAAATTGCGGCTCGCAGGGGACAGCTCCCCCCTAGTTCCAGGGGACTGGGAGGGTGATTGGGCGGACTTTTTCGTCTCCACCAGTGAGCGCGGGGGGGGCCTAGCATCCCATCGGGCGTTCGCTGAATCGCTTCCCGAGTTCACCGGATCTACGGATAGAGTTTCTGGGGTAATCAAAACTGGCTTTCAGGAAAAGGGGTCAAAATTCAATTGCATTATGTACTTTTTGTCATTATTATTAGGGTGTAGGAGGTAAAATGTCTAAGTGTTCGTAGCTTTTTGCTGATTGCAATGGTGATTAATAGGCGTATCATGATCGTTCGGAGGAATGACAAACCATTATTCTCGGCAATAGCTCCAGTCGTCTACCAGAACATCCAGCCGGCTGCAGCGACTAGAACCAAGGAGCCCCTCAAGCGCCCAGCAGATCCGCTGCTCGATGTAGCAGTTGGGGTGTTGACGCCTGCGCTCAGTGTGGGTGCTATCACTGGAGTTGATGCCATTGTGGTGGCCACCAGGACAGATGAGCTGCCAGATGCCGATGGCACTGAAGACTGAGTTCCCGCTCCGCCGGTAACAGTAACTGTAACGGTGGGGGCAACGGATGTGGATGTTGTCAACTTGATGCCGCACACTGCCTCTGTGTCAAATGTGAAGGGCATATTCCTCGCTTCACATTCCAGAGTCTGTCGCTGAATGGAATCTAGACGGTATCCCCGTCAGTGCTAATCTAGCTTCACGCCAGTCGGAAATATCTACCGGGCAATACGGAAGCGGCGCATTTCTGGGCCATGCAGCAGAAGTATCTCTCACGATACTTTTGCTGGGTGCACATGCATGCAGCATCATTTGTGCAAGAGCCTCCGGGGAAGCTGCCGAAGAAGCAACCATTCTACGTCGCAGGAATATCAGTACCTGAAAAAACATTGAAGGATTTTCATACTTACATCGCACTCAGCGTTCCGGTTTTGTTCCTCCTGGTCGAAAGGAATCCCCATTGCCACGTTGGCACCAAGGCCAACCAATGCCAGGGCAGTAAGCAAGCGTGACATGGTTTTAATATGGGTGAATAAACGAGTGACGATAACGTAGCGAGTGACGGTAGCGAGTGACAAAAGCGAATTAATATGGAAAGTAATGAAGTCCGTGATCTCGAAACCAAGAATAAAAAATCACCAGACAGCGCGAAGATGCCGTCTATTCATACCCTCACGAGATGCATTGACGAAAGACAAAAGTCCCAAATTCTCGGACAAGCTTATTGCTGTGCCGCTAGAAATGTTGCTTCGGCAAATTTCAGCTCACGTTGCCTAGCCCCATCTAGGTGGTCGGTTCGTGTTTTACCTAGTGGACTATTTTTGAATCTCACTGCAGTCTAGCGCAACCGCCTTTTGGTTGACACTCGCGAATCGAATGATGCGTGCTTACTTGGCAACTTGAATGGATGCTACCCCGAATATTGCGACCTTGACGTGTTGTCTGGGTTTGGCCTCATCTGAAGGCGGTGAACTTTTCTTGCACTTACCGCTGAGATCTTCGAAGGGAGATTTACATCTAATTAATGATCTATAGTCCGAGAAAGGCCCCGAAGAAAGTCACGATGCATTCAAAGCAAAAACCCCGAATGAGGTTTGTTGGCTGTATTTAAGCCAGACATAACATAATTCCGCCTTTCAAACATATTACATTCAAGCGCACTACTGTTCCGCGCCCTCCCGCAGACTAAAGTCAATGAAGATATTTTCCATGCCGATTCCCATTAGTTTCCCATCCCCGAACCATTAAACTCCCGGCATGGATAGCTCACCTACCAATTGAAACATGATCCAAGTCTCACAACGAAAGTCGCACCGTCGAGACACAGACATATCAGCTGCGAGAAGCCCACGTTCAAGATTCTGCGGCAAGGATCTGGCCCCTTCTAGAACAGAACCGCCAGGAAAAAGACAATCCCCACTCTACGCTATTGGACGGGCTGCCGTCTGTGGCAGCCTCTAGTGCAAGACTCCAATTAGAGTACTTGCTCATGCAACGGTTTATTATTGCCTCTTTGAAACTTTGTCGGACGTCTTCATGCGTAACTTCTTGCCAAAGATGAAGAGAATTGGAATGCCGGTCGAGACGACTAGGAGCATGATGGACAGATAGACTGTAAACTTCATTGGACCTGTCGAAAAGCATTCTTCATTAACAAGATGTGCAACATTCAGAGCGAATTTCAGACTCACCTAATTCTTGAAGCCAAGTTGTCACCTGTGTGTTAAGAGGAAAGGATATGAAAACACGTAGAGTCGAGACGTTTACCAGAACGGGACCAGCCCACTGGGGGTAGCTCTCAATGACATAGTTTTGCACAATCGGCGCTGTGATCAAGGTTGATGTCATGAGAAAGAAGGTCCCGAGCAGCAAGACGGCGTAATGAAGGTGGTTCTGATCGGCGTATCCAAACACTAGAGCACCCGTGATGGCGAAGAAAATTGGCAGGATGAGATTGGGAAGCTGGTGTTCGGCTTCACGGCCACCCTTCTTCTTCGAGATCCAGAGAGACACTGAGTCGGCGACTGGTCCACCGACGACGAATATGACGATAGTTGACAAGATCTGGGGAATTTGCGAAAGGCCGGTGAGTTCGAAAGGAACGCTATTGTTTGAACGAAATGCATTAGTATTTTGGTCCCAGGACGAACTACCGTGGTAAATGCTTACCCAGCAGCGAGAAGAGCGAATGAGGTCGCCTGTCCTGTCGCACCCATGACCATCCCAAATGCAACCTGCAATAGAGTGCACCACAAGACAGCGGGGAACATGGTGGTCTTGAGAGTGGCGATGATCTGGAGGCCGGCATCCTTCCAGTGAGTTCCGCTCTGGAAGAACCCAAGGTCATCCCACCGCGTACGCGCGCCGTATGTGGCGTAGTCTAGCTGAGTGCGGTCCTCGCCCGCAGCTATGGGCCACAGCTGGTGTCCAGCAAGCTCTGCTTTAGATCTCTGTCTGAGTGTCTCGGGTACAAACAGGATGAGCATGATCCAGGTCAGGACGCCGACGGCGGATGTGATCCAGTAGATCCATCGCCAGTCCCAGTTGACAGCAATGTACGGACCAAGGATTCCGAAAAGCATAATCATTGGCCCCTACGTGAAGATGTCAGTTACTTGATATGGCTAACTCCTTACCGCAAATCGTGGGATTTGAAGGGTTGATGGTATGACCATCTCAGATGGCATAAACCTACCTGACTGGCAATGATGGACGCCACAGCTTTGTTTCTCTTGTGAAGAAACATCATATCCTGGACGATCAAAGGGAGCAAGGCCTCGACAGCACCAGACCCAAGACCGTGGAAGACTCTGGCAGCAATATGGCTTGTAAGCGACTTGCTGTATCCGGCCCAGAACCCTCCGCCCCAGGAAAAAGCCGACGTGAGGATGAGGACCGGACGTCTACCGATGGCAGCCGTAAGAGGGACCAAGAGATACGTAGCAACACCATTACTGAGCATGGGAATGGTCGCCAGAAGAGAAACAGACGTCAGAGAAACTGGAGTCACGCCGGGTGGCACAATGGCAAGAGGGTTTGGATTGCCTTTGAGGTCGGCATGCTTGAGAGTTGAAGCCGGATCGACTCCAGAGTACTCAAGGATGAACACGGGCAAGAGGCCAGCGACGGCGATCTCGGCAGCAAGCGAGACGGAGCCGACTGTGTGCTGTTAGAAATGGACGTTCCGCCCAAGTTGGACGGAAGAAGCTTACAGAAGCATAACGAGGCGACAGCAAGCCACTTGCGCCACTCAGGCAGATTGAGAGGATCCTTGGGATCCGGAGTAGGAGTCTTGATAGTCACGGTCAGTCTCCCAATGCATTTCGGATCCATCTGTGGTCCTTCACTCACGGGCACAAGCCGGATGTTTCCATCCTTATCATAAATCTCAGTACTTCCAAGCACTTCCTCTTCATGGACGGCAGCCTCCTGCTTCTCAGCCGTGATCGTATCGATGGAATCGATCCTCTCGAGCCCTCGTCCACCTTCCTGCAAGGTCTGCATCGGATAGCGCGGGGATGCTGGGGTCAGCGCCTGGGAATGTCGAAAATCCACGATGCTGAATGGGATAAACATCTGCGAGCTGCGCTTGGCGTACTTATCGATCCTCGATTCTCGTCTACCGCCACTGACATTATTGAAGTCGATTGGGACGAGAAGCCCATCGTTTTTGTCGTCGTTCATGATTTTTTTGAGTTTGAATTAGGGGGAAAGTATAAAGGTTAACGTCAATAAGAAAGGGGGTTGAAACAGTCGCCTCGAAAATAGGAGGAAAAAAGTCAATGGCAAAGACACGGACGGTGTTTTTCGCGTTCGAAAGTCTCCAGCCAGCGAAAGGGGGGTTAAATGAGTGAAGGAATCGAACAGGAAAGCATCGAAAAAGGTTGGGAGGAAGAATCCGGACCGGCCGTTTGGAAACTAAGTTGTTCTGATATCAGTATTTGGTTTCTTCATCGAGGACTGGGACGCGCATTTGCCTTCGAATGAGGAAGGTAGTAGATGGAAACGTTTGAATTGAAATTGCAGAGGCAAGACGGGGCATTTTTTACACGCGGCAGACTAGTGCAGATCATCGGTAAGGCGCCCCCACGTACCTTGTGTTGCGTAGTATTTTCGATCTCATTCAGACATCTGGAAGTTCTCTCCGATCATCTTAACATTGTCATGAAAATTCTCTCCTTATATGAAGTAACTTTTAGAAACGCCTTACAAAGAGATCCGGAATATCCAGGAACCTCAAGCCAGCCTCCTGGTAAAACGAGAGTCTCATCAGGATTCGTTCCAAGACATTTGATGGGATGACAGCAAATGTTGTTTATAGATGGCGGTACCAGGAAAGCGATCATGCTAAAGCATCCAATAACGGTCCTCTTCGTGACCTCTTTGTGGTATTTTCTGCGTTCACGGATTATCCGGTGGCATCAAACGTCGAGATGAAGCTCTAGACCCAATGACCTCCCCCACACATTCCCAAGATCATGTGCAATGAAGTACCCTGCGACTCTCGCGCGGCTTGTGGATACATGTAGATGGGATGGGCCGTGAAACAGCAGCCTTCATTTCAGTCGTCCCATGTTTGTATAGTCAGCGTTGCTCTTGCAGCGGAAAAGAGGGACAATGGCATGAGGAGATGGCAGAACCTGCGGGCCCTATGCTTGTTCTGACGGAAAAAGATGAGGCTCAAAAGCGTGTTGTGTGAGGTGCCACATTTATGCATCTGGACGTGCGCCTGTCGACAGTTGGTTTTATCGTTGCTTTGACTGTAAGATCATCACCTTGTTGACCGGACGTCATGAACGCGCAATCTGGTGAGGAAAGAAGCAGAGACGATGAGTGTACCAATTTAGTAAAACTTGTTACATGGTTCGTCATGTCGGGTGCGAGTCCCTAGCAATTTACAGTCTCGAATAGATCGAGAAGAGTTCTAGAAAGTCTCAAGATCAGGGCATGCTTTTTCTAGGAATAGGCCAAATGCCTAGATGCTGGTGTGGTTGGCAAAGAAGATCATTCGATTGGTTGCTCCGCAAAGTCTGATCAAAAAGCCCCGAAACCTTTCGAGTCTTCGGGGCTTGAGGGGCTGGGATAGGGCTGTCAACAGCATGGGCCGGCGGAAACCAAAAGCTGGACTCTGGAGCCCGTGCCTGGACGCGCCGAACCGGCGGCCGTTGCCAATTGACTTTCTATATCCCAGTTTCGTTGAGGTTTAACTTTGAGTTTTGATTTCTTTCAATACCTTACATTATCTCACCAAACGTCGTAATGTCAATTCTGCCACTAAGTGATAAGTACCAACTCCAGATTCTAGATGCGAAATCTTGCTGCAAAGTATAGTCAGAGCACTTGCAACTGGAGCTTAGGGGGAGGGCATAGACTTCACCCGGAACGCCCATGCTTCTTCCCCGCCAAGCTCTCGACGAAAGCAGGGCTTTGCTGTCACAACTGTCTGTTTCTGTTTCGGACAAGTATCCACATCCCGTCTCGGAAGTAGTTAATGCTGTAGATCACCCACTTCCCGTGTCAATGATGACAAACCTCCACGATGGAGGGATTGAGTGAGACGCTGCGAGTTTGGTGAACTTCGCGACGCGAGACCAACAGCAATGTTTTCGACATGATACAGATTCATATGGACCGTTTGGACATATTGATTAATTCTCACATCGCATCCTCCATGAAGAGAGGCGACTCTGATGATCTCGTGAGTAGTAAATTGCACCGAAGTTTTGTACATTTCCGATCAACAAGAAGAGTTCCATCAGCATTGGCGAGGACCATAGTTACCTAGGAACCTATGCTGTTATGTATACATATCCATACCATCTTAGCAGAGGCAGTCTAGGTCGACTAGAGATAAGTGTAGTGGTCTTAGGGTCCTGATGAGCATATCGTCTGCCTGTTCGCGACTACACAGGACCCTATGATACATGACCAGAGTCTTTTACTAGTACACATCGTGGGTTTGTCGGTAGAATCTTAGGTCTTCCCAACTCATTGCACATCTTGCGAATTTGCCCAACGTCTTGTGAATATCGAACGCGTTCCGCTAAAGCTCTCTTACCGACACCCTATTTCCTAAATCTGGTGCACTTCTGGCTTTCTCAATCTTCACTATGTTCTGACGGTACGGCCCTTCACGGCCCCTCCCCGACTGTGGATCCGATCTGCGGGCCGAGTTCTTATCGAATCCGGCGTGAATCACCGTTCAAATGCCGGCCTGACGTAAGACTCGCACGGTTGCGTCTCCTGGGTGTTAGGCAGCCGTTGGATAAAGCCCTGCGGGCGGCATCGATTTAGTCCTCTCATTTCATTGGTTTAATATCGAAGCTACAAGGCCAACTTCAGTGTGGACACGCTGCGCCTTTGTAGGAAGGGCGCTAGCAAGGTAAACATTTTTGGCGCAGTACTTATTAGAGACATGTCATCCCCATTCGTTTAAGCACAAAAGTTCCAAATTGTTGACCTTTCGTCGTCTGTGGTGGCTGAGCGGCTCGCAACGGGCTGCGTAATTTTGACCTCGTATTCTCAAGTATTTGCAACCTGAAACCCATTCCTGCCATCGTCGGGTGTCGTTCATATCTCGTAATAACCTTGGGAAACCCGGGGGTACTCCTTCGTTACAACATACAGCATTGTTCACCATGATCGTCGACACAAGCTCTCCGCCCAAAAGAACCCGGGAAAGCACATCCAAAGTCCGAACCGGGTGCAGCACCTGCAAAGCTCGTCGCGTAAAATGTGATGAAGCGAAGCCCGTTTGTCGACGGTGCACCGTCGGAAGCCGGAAATGCGAGTACAAGTCGACAAGTCCAGCACGATCACCCCATCATAACGTGATCACCGTTTATGTTCCCCCTACGAAAAGTCAGCCGGCATTTTTCGAAAGCACAAGTGGCCTTGATTTCTTTCACACCAACATTGGCACGATACTTGACGGACAGTTTGATTCAGAGTTTTGGAGGAAGCTTGTCCCACAGTTATCACACTCCGAGCCGTCGATCCGACATGCAGTGTCGGCAGTTAGTGCAGTTTACCGCGATGTTGAGGCATCATTGCGGCATCCATCAGGGTTTGTGAAGGCTAACCCCGAGGCACAGAGAGAATGGAAGCTCGCACTCAAGAGCCTCTCTGCTCGAATTCAGACGAACCCAAACTCCAGCCTAGTACCTTTGGTCTGCTGTCTTCTGTTCACATGCATCGAGTTCCTTAGAGGCGATGCCGACTTATCAATGCTTCACATCCACAACGGGTTCAACATTCTGGCCCCCCTCAGACCCAACAGCGGCGCCACACCGGAGACAGGGTCAAGGACCCCCTGCAACGATCTCACCTTGATTCAGGATCACATCTTCCCAATGTTCTCACGCCTGGGCATCCTCTCCTGTCTGGCCGGTAGATTTACCCCGCCAGTCTACATGCATACGGAAGAGGACGAATCTCCACACAAGGACTTTGAGGACGCTAGACGGCGGTTATTCGCTATCGCTGACGCCTGCATTCGGTTCATCAACGCGGTCAGCCCCAAGGCAGACACGCTGCTTGTGGGCATTGATGACCTTGTTGAGCAGGCCAAGCTGCAGACCAGATTACAAGTGTGGCACAGGCAGTTCGATGATCTCTTGAAACGGCTGCAGTCTGTCGGCAACCCGCCCAACCCAGACGCGGTCAACATCCTTCTCGTAAACCACAAGGTCGTCAACATTTGGACACGAGTCTGCACTACATCTCAGGAAACAGACACAGATGTTTACAGATCAGACTTTGACGAGCTGGTGACGTACGCAGAGCAAGTCATCAAGCCAGGCAAGGTACAGGCAGGACCACAGCTTCTTTCATTCGACGTCCAACTCCTGGCACCGCTATTCTACGCCGCGCTGAAATGCCGTCACTCGTCAATACGATGGCGTGCCCTGGAGCTGCTTCGTCTGGCACCCCGACGAGAAGGTTTATGGAACGCGCACCACGCATATCTCACGGCCAAGCGCATAGTCGAGCTGGAAGAACAGCATCTAGGTGGAGAAGGAGCTCTACCCGACGAGACGTCGAGACTTTTTGGTCTGCCTCTACCTGATGACCAGTCACGGGTCTACAACCTGTGCGAGCTGCCATTTGACTTTCGTACGTTCGATCATAGTGTGGTGGCCAGCCCAACGTGCCCAGGCACGCTTGAGGCCAAGTTTCAGACCAGACCAATGGGTGTGTTTGGAGAGTTCCAGAATTTCACGGAGTACATCAAGTTATGATATGGTGGATATCTATGAATTGCGCCCATATCTTCTATCTTCTAGAGCCTTCCTTCAACTTATTGTACAGCCGGTACTTTCCTCGTCTCCAATACAAACCAATACTCCAGTCAAATCCACAGTCCATGTCCATTACTCCACCTGCCACTAGATACTCAAACAACTCTCAAATCTGTGCATTTGCCTTCTTCCAAACGATCTCAAGCATGATTGCCTTGAATCTCCTCCATAGACGAGCTGCTCATTTCAAAGGCAGCCTTCCTGGAGTGCTTAACAGACCAAGCCGCGCTGCTCCACTGACCATCAAATCCAATACCGGGATGGAGTACCGTTACCGCAAGAATCGCCAGGAAAATCATAGGCCCCTCCAGGATCATGAAAGACACCTCGTCATTGGCAATAGGCCCGTTAAAGCCCTGCTGCAATTCCGCAACACGGTACACC